CTTCTTACAGCGGATGTCATCCATGGTTTATCGTTAGGACGTATTACAACTATTCTACTTGGAATATGCTTTTTAACTGTTGAGTAAAAATAGTCAAACCAGTTTTTATAAGCATCGTCAATCCGGTTATTGTCTCTTTCACAATTTTCCCAATTAAGATTTGAAAGTTCCTCATTAAGCTGTGCTATATTGATATTGGAGAAATCCCAAATGTGTCGTTTAAAGGACTTTTGCTTATAGTACGGAATCTTGATTTTCGTGTAGACGTAGGAGTGATCACAATTCGATGGTGGACTACATGTACCCGAATCAGAAAAATATCGTGGACAATTAGTAGGGCCCCCCATGATTTTTACGTGACGCGTGTTTAGCTGTTATTTCAAGCGTTATCACGTGATTAAGTTATTTTTGGTGCGTGAAATCGTGAATTTAAATGTTGGCGAGAGTCGGGAAAAGGCCAACTTAAACGGCGGATTTCGTGATTACTTTACCAAGTAACGTGATTACGTGCACCAGCATTGAAGCTAACTTTAAAAAATCGTCCCCAAAAGGCCTCAAAACAGAACAAGGGCCAACAAGAGAGCAACTTATTTGGCCTTTATCGCCTTAATAATTATTTCGGGCTATTTCGACGACTTGGCACATTCTCACTTCCGGATTGCTACTCCACTTCCGGTATATTTATTATTTGCTTTGGAAAATATGGCGGCGGTTTTGCCGCGAGAAGTACAAACTGAAAGGCCTGAAAGCATTATCGAATGCATCGCGATCTTCTATCAAAAGGGAAAGACCAAACTTGATTATGTTCGAAAAGAGAGGTATCGGGCCAGAATTCCAACGGGAATTAAAAGTTTAACGAAGCTGAAAAGCATTGTCAGGTACGTGAATTTCAATTTGTTGATTTAAATAAAATTTGAATATATAAAATATGCATGCTTTCTAGGCCTTTCTGTGGCTTGTGTGTCCTGTCCGAAGGGTTTGGGCTTAAATAGCCTTAAATAGGCTTAAATATGACTAAAATAACAGTAATTATTTTTTTTATTAGGGTGAATTTTTTATATTTTCTTATTCTGGCTTGTCATTGTCAACCACAATGATTTGTTTGCTCTAATCTTGGGAAGTGATAAATAGAACAATTTACATGACGATTATAAACATTTCTTTGGTGCATTTTTAGTACAAATAAGTTAAAATGAGCAAGTATAACAATAGGATGGTTGAAATATATGATGGATTGAAAACAAAAACATCTATTACTCCACCATTAAAATTGCTGCCAAGCAGAGCAGGTTTGGGCGTGCAATGCATTGTGGGGCCCTTGTGGTTGACAATGACTCTTTAATAAACACATGTAGACTATGTATATAGGTTGTTCAAGATGGTTGCCAAGGCATGGCCCATACGGCCAGGGACCAGTGTGTTTTGTGGCCTATTGAATCATATTTTATTTTATGTACATTAACTACATCCATGTGTCGGCTGCCAGTTTGCCCTATCATGACCTATACTGTGAAATAAACAGACAGGTCGACACTGGCCAATTTTGTGTTGGTATATATTTATTCTTTTATCTCCCTATAATTACATTTATTTTTGTGTTTAATTTTGAGAAAATCAGTACATGCCATTACAAATTACAGCCATTCCTAGACACTTTCATGATATAGATTTCAGCAAAGCTTATGTGAATCGATTTGTATATCTTTCTTGCAGTTCCCAGGGAGGAATACAAGTTATTTGCCAAGATATCGGCTTTGGTAGTAACTTTGAAATGCGGCTAAGCAGAGAACACAAAGGAGGCAATGGAACAGTTCTGTATGCAATTAATACAGATTTTCATGTAACTTTAGAATTGCCAGCAATTCTGAATGGGAATGACAAATTACAAAGTAAGTTCTGGTACAGGCTGGTACAGTTACTATAGGGCCACTATAGTTACGTTTGAGAAAGGTGGAGGTTTGTAGAGGTGGAGGTTTGGCCCAATGTACACAATCATTGGGAACAATGTATCTCTGCCTGGGAACTATACAATGTTCTAAAAATATATTTGAAAGTTTATTTTGCAAACCAATTCTACAAGTTTTATAAAAAATTTATTCTAAATAAAGTAACAAAAAATAAACGAATTGCCAAAGTTTTGTTTATCTTCCCAGATGTTAATTCTCCTTGACACTGCAGCTTTGTGTTTAACGTCTCTGCCTACTCTGGTACCTTCGATGCGTTGAAAACATAAAGCCTCTTAAAACTATGTGCAGTAAAGCATTCAAAATTTCAATATAATTTTTCATTTCCTCAATTGTAGTTTCCTTGAAATTTCTACTTTGTTTGGAAAAATTTGAATATTACAATATAACGGTAGGCCTACTTTTTCATTTTTACAGTTACAGTATATCCTGTGATTACATCATTTTCCAAGAACGTTCCCATTATAAACATAGAAGTTGTTGGCTCTTCATCTTCACGTCCAGAAACCTCAAAAATAGTTCCAGAGGTAGCAATAATTGATGACGAGGACGCATTTAAGAAAGGTATTTAATGTTGCTTAGATTTCTTATATTGATATATTTTGGCTGTTGAAATCTGACAATTAATCTAACTATGTAAAAGCAGCCACTATCGTTTTATTCACCCAAGTATATATTCCATTTGAACCATAGAACTACTTGAGAAATTTCAAGGAAGCACACTTCAAGATTCATCCAAACAGCGTATTATAAAAAGTAGACAAAAACCTATTGTGTGGCCTTGGAATATTCACTGTGGAATATGTAAAAAGAAATGTATGGTACGCGTTGATGCGAAAACAAACGGGAGAATACAATATTTCAAAAAACGTAAGTATTTGTAATATTTTACCACTGCACCTGTTAGAATATTTTTTTGTATTTGTTTAACTGAGTGTTTATGACTTTTAGGTCACTTTGATCACTGTGAAAAAAAGGCAACAGAGAGGCAAAAAGCAAAAAGTCAACTGACCATCAAAGAAGCGTTTGCCAGGAAACCAAGGCCTTCAAGCAATGACAGCCTTGGGGAAGAAATGAGCCCAACCGCGGCAAAAAGGCCTATGTTGGAGTACGACTCAGACATTGAACTCTCCGAGGGCGAGGAGGAAAAGTAATATATCTAAAATAATAACTTTTCTTTTTTATTTGATAGGCTGTGTTTGCAAAACCCTAATCTTTAACTGCATTGAAATCAACAATTACTGTAAACTTAATAATATATAAACATAATAACTGCAAGTTGTACTATAATTTTCGTAAATGCAGGTAAACCAACTTCAGCACGCTATTATGCGAGAAATACTGAGTGTATAGACGTACTTTTTTATTGCTGTAGAAATTGGGATCTTATCTATCAAATGACGCATTTCTTGTATCATTTTGAGCAGAAACGAAATGACATATTTACAACGTTGGGAATTATTTACACCTGAAGTTAGAAATCGTTTATAGATAATCAACACCATGATATGAACAACTAATCTATGAATAAATTTACGAAATCTAATTAACAAACAAGACACTGGTTAATTGCATTTTCTTTAGTTCGACCTTTCCGCCATATGAATTCCCAACGGTGGAAATATGCGATTTTGACCGGCAATTTTTATTAAGGCCTACATTTGATAGCTAGAAGCCTATTATTTAGGCTATTTACAGTGATTAAAAACCACGCCAAGATAACCAGTATTTTTCACCCAATAGCGTCAGTGCTAAGTTGGCAAAATCATAAATTTTTACCGACCAAGTTAGTCGCTCAGCCTACTTTTTACAATCGCTTTCTTTTGAAGTTCCTTTGTGTTTGAAAAGGCGAAAACACACATTTGAGGCATATGATTCATGTTTCCTTTGAATTGAAAAGATTTCCACCAAAAGATGAGATTTGTTCATAAGTAAACCGTATGTACTTTACTGTAACAATGGGATGATACTGGCCGGCACTGTATTTAGCCTACTTAAGGGTGTTCCAATGATTCACCTTCACTCTTCAGATTCGAAGATGATGACATTCAAATGGCCAGTTCTGACGACTTTGAAAGCAATAGTGATGTCGAGGTGGAAGCTGAACAGCACACAGACATTGACTCAGATGTCGAAATCCTTGGAAACTCTTCTGAATTTGATGGCGAGTGGCGGTTTATTGGTTTAGCAGTTGAAGATGCTGATCCCGTGTGCAAGTGCTTAAATAGGCTAATTAAAGCTGGGAAGATACCAAGGGACAGGATCTTCTACAAATATTTGTCAAATGTGGTGGAAATATTCTACAATCCCTTGCATCCATGGGATAGTGACGTTCTCGAATTTTTCAGCTCTCTGTCCTATCTTGGTGGTCAACGAACTTACAATATGGTTAGAGGACCTATGCAAGCTGGACAGGGCCGTCTATGTGCCAATAAGAGCGGAGAGGTGAACATGAATCTTGGAGGACCGTCGACTGAGACTCTGCGCAAAAAACAAGCGGCATACTCTACACAATCCGGTGTTCACAGACATTTAAGTGATTTGAATTACACGCTTTGCAACAAAGCAGGATTTGAACAGAAACCTGACACACTTATTGCTACTAGTTCGTTAGAGGTTTATCCAGTAGTACTCGCAAATGATGGAACAGCTCTTCACCCAGCAATTCAGTTTGATGAAAGAATGAAACAAAATATAGGGCTTGAATTCAGCGTCGATCTAGATTATGTAAATGACAATCCATTTCTGTCAAAAGAAACATTGCAGAAATTCCTGGTTCGAGAAGTTCTTGTGACATCCGTGACAACAATCGATAACAAATGCAGTCTTCCTGTTGCTGTGGATTATGTAGGAAAAGCGGGTAAGACAGGCAAAAATATGCAGGAGTTATTCACAAATCAGGTGAAGCTTTTGCAAATTTGTCAGAACTGTTTGAAGCGGTGTAGGACGAGTGATTTGGTCATCGATAAGAATCAGCATGAACTTTGTGCAAGCGAATGTCAACGATGTTATGATTCAAGAGCTGTTTGTGAGAGTTGTATTCCACTTGGACATAAAAGTTACATCCCATCAGTTCGAGCTTGCGAGTATTGCCTGTCTAATGGCGTGAAGTGTATAAGAAGGGTCGTCATGGTACTGACTGTGGATTGCGAGGAAGGTAACAAACAGTGTTTACTCCAGCTCAAAGACGCTTTAGAGAAAGGAACCATTGATCATAACCTTCACCTGCTATCCATTTTTCCAGATTGTCCACACGTTTTGAAAACGTGCAAAGCCAGTTTTGCCAATTGGTATTTGCAGTTCAACAACGAGAGAGGATGTCTAAGCATATTTTACACATTATGCAATAAATCAGAGTCAGTTGTCAGAAAGAAAATGAAGGGCTATTTGCCCAAGAACGATTATGTCAGGAACCGTGATCGACAAGATCCGACAGCCGTTTTGAAACTGTGTAACACTGAACTGTGTGACTACGTGGCAGGCCTGGGTTTTGTGACCCACACCATCGTTCCCGAAATGGTAAGATTTACCTCAACAAACCGTATTAACACACATAAAAACATCACCAGTGTTGCAGTCGGACCACATGGATGGATACTTTTCTTGTGCTACGACGACCAGAAAAAGGTATACAAATTATACAAGTCCAAGCTACACAACCCAATCCAGGATATTGAGCTGATATGCGCTACTCTCAAAGGGGATAAAATTTATCACATTGCTAACTTGGTCTATAACTGTGGAAACGAAAATCCCATATCATTCTACAATATAAAACCGCGTAGTTCTCCGAATATTTCCATAGAGAAACTACGACTAAAGACAGACATCGATCCTTTACTCGCAGAACTCAATCTAGTGGCTGGTCGCACCGTGAAAGAATCCAAAGCTCGATTGTTAGCTCATCAGAAAACACAACGGAGATTGTATGAAGAAAAGAAATGGAACTCGACTGAAATTAACTTTGTTGAAAATAATTCTCTACAGTTTGATGACATCTCGATAGTTGATCAGCACTTAATTTACGGTGCATGCTCGTCCAAACGGAGCCTTGAGCAAATACACTTAAAACGCGACACTGTTGGTATTCAAGGGACTGCAGTTACTGTCGTCTCTTATCACGAGTCTTGGGAGAAAGTGCACTGCCTTTTGTTACACAAATCTAGTCTGCTTGTTTTTTATGGCAAAGGCATTTTCATGTTCAACCTTGACACACAAGTATCGTTAACCGTTGTACCAGAGTCATCAGGATACATTCCTCGATACGGTTATGTGTACAAAGATGGCTTTCTCTTCACAAGTAACGATGATCACCGTTTGTATTTTTGGCAAAATAGCCAAATAACAACATTTGCAGGAGATTCTGAAGGTGGAAGCAGAGATGGCACAGTCCAGTTTGCCCGTTTTTACAAAATATCTAGTATATGTGTGGAATTTGATCATGTAGTATATTTGTCAGACTACGCCACAGGATCTATTCGAATGTTAACTACGTTAAAGAACACTGCTTCTTTCCTAAAGGCGGTTGGTAAATTAAGCACTGCATTTTCCGTACACGAAAAGCATCAGTCGTACGATACTAAGACGATGGACGAAGCCATTGCACTTGTAACACAATGCAATGATACACTTCAAGAAAACGAAGAAGTCATAAGACAACAACACGAAAACCTTCCCAAAGCTTTGAACGGCCCAGAGGGAAGTATTTCTGCCAAAACCATGAAGTCAATATTCTTACTACAATGGGGACTCGCAAAATTGAAATCAAATCTTGATGATTTTGACTATAATTCAACCAATCTACTCAGTTGCATGACACTAGACATTGAGCATTTGCACTCCACGGTAAACTTCAAGCATGGTGTACAAACAATGCTTCAATATGCAAGGTCATTTTCCTCATCCATCAAAGAAAGTGTCAAAGCTCTTACAAATTGGAGTGCGTTTTATTACACTAGCAATCAAGCACGTTGGTATCCACCTCCTGAGAGTGGTTTAAAACTAAATGAATTACGTTTCCCAAGGCCAGCGGACCCAAGACAACTTGAAGACGACAAGAAAGTGCTGATGAGAGAATGGGCCTCGCTGAACGGTGCTGTAGTTCGTCAGAGAAGTGTTCGCCAAGAAACAACAATGGCGAAAGCTGGAACGCTGCCTGAGGGAAGCTATGAAGTAGAGCTGGTCCCAAACACTGCCAATGATTCAGGTTCAGAAGAAAACAATGACGAACAAGAGCTGCTGGTCCCAAACACTGCCAATGATTCAGATCCAAAAGAAAATAATGATGAAATTCTGCATTATGATGACGACGATGATGAATCTGACATTGAAGACATGGCTACTGAACTTTCACGGACGAGTTTACAAAATTTTCAGGACTTTCAAACTACCGAAGTCGGAAGGGAGACGTCATTTCTTCTTGGTGGGCGTTCGAGATATGGAAGAACAGTTCGTTTCAATAGCAGATTTGCTTGAGGTGAGCCGCTATGTTTAAATGCGTTTCAAAATGCCTGTTGACCATATTGTCTTTACCAATGGCAGTCTTGTTGGAGATAAGATTAAAATGTTTGATCAGAAAATTCGGCAAATTAAGTGTCAAACAGACAAATGCGCACCATCAGTGCTATTTTCTGCACATGTTCGACGTCCTAATACATTATATCAAATTCAGTAAGTATGCTATATTTTTCGCCCTCGCGTGAACGTGAAACTAGCTTTTTCTTTTACGTGACGTGTTATTTAGATTTATTTTTTGCGTGAATGCGTGAATTTATGGGGCTCATGGGGGGCCCCATTGTATGGTTTAGTTTGTTTTTGTATTTTTTGTATTTTATTTCATTCTTTTTTCATGGTTTTGTCAAATAGGTTTTGTAAAGTTTGTTTTTTTGTTTTATTGAATTTAGCATGCAATTTGTCATCCACGGACTTTTGATTTTGATTATATTACTTTTACTCGATTTTTTTGTTAAGGGAAAATTTGTTTTGTAAATTTTTCTAAATGAATCAGAAAATTCATTGAAGGCAATTTCAGGATTTGCATTAGTAAGTACATTGCTCCAAGATAAGTTTTTAATTTCATCAGTGAAACAGTCAATATTTTTTTTGTTAAAAATTCTTGTATAATCTGGTTCATTGGTTGTTTGCTTTTCACACTTGTTATTATTATCCATGTTACACATGTGAACAATAGGTAAATGGTCAAAATGGTCTGATATATCACTAAAGATAATTCTGTTAAAGCTTTGATCAATTTTATCAATATTGTTAGTAAAGATGTTGTCAATTAATAAAATTATCCTGGCAGTTTTGTCAGAATTGTCCAGTTGTAATATATCATATTTTGAAATTGCCAACAATATTTATGGTTTGCCCATTAACACCAAACACGTTCCCCTTGACCAGTAAAATCACTTGGTGTTTAACAAAGTAAAATAACAAAGGGCACATTGTGGCTTGATAGGTTAAATATACCTTACAAATTCCAACAAAAATGTAAGTGAGGCTGTTGGGTCAAATTAGCCTGTATTCAAACCACAGGAGAGCCTGTTGCAGGCTAATTTATGCCAACCACCTCGCTTTCATACTGCCGGAATGATCACTAAGGTCTATTGGCAGTACTAGTAGATATTGTGATATACTTTATTGTGATAGTATACAGTGTCAAAATCCCTACCCCATTACACTTTTAATCTTTTAATACACCACTTCCTCCCTTAAAGGGCTGTTTATGTGGAAGCGGGCTGGCCCACGCTTAGCAAGACAGCCCAGTAAGCGAGACTCGCTGTGTAGTTATTTTTATAGTAAGAATTACCAAGCGTTTATATAGACAAGTGGGCTGGCCCAGTTGCAGAGATCTTGCTTGCCGGGATTAAAATTTGTCCATATAAACACTCACAAGCGGGCTGGCCCGGTTCAGTGCAGGGATGATAGTTCAAAGATGCCGCCACAAGCTATTTTTAATAACTGTCAAAACAATGTTAAAACAACAAAATTGTCCCGGCAAGCAGGGTGAAATTTTCTCATATAAACACAAGAGAAATTCATCCTGCTTACCGGGCAGCCTCGCTAACCAGGCCAACCTGGCTTCCATATAAACAGCTCCTAAGAAAAGCTAAATCATGTGGCACTATGCTAACCAAAATGTGAAGTTGTTTGATCATAACAACAACAGTATTTATGAACAGGTACTGTAAAGGCAAATTGAAAAAACAAATAACATGCCTTCTACAGCTGACAGAAAACTTTTATTATGATCGGTCCTCACAGGCTGCCATATAATGGGTGAAAAGAACTGTGCATTAACTTAATTTCCATGACACCTGGGATCAATTGAAGTAACAATCCTTGTATACTTGAAGCCCCCTCCCCCAAATATATCTAGTAATTCTTACAGGAAATACAAGATTTAGTGATTGTAATATCAACAATTTTGCTCACTATTTTTTGTATTTTGCAACAGTTTTCACTTTACATGCCATACTTTTGGCTGCAGGTTGGAATAACATAGGGAGACAAAATGTTTATAATTCAAAACAAAACACAGTGAGCACACATAAATTGTATGTGTTGAATAGGTTTTTGCATTTTTGGCATAAGACAATTTATGAGACACTGAGACAATTTAACCCAGGCATTGAGAGAGGTTCGGCTTAGGATTTTGGGTTTGATGGCTATAGATCTACCCATAATCTTATGCCGAACCTCTCTCTAGTCTCTACGCCAGGGTTAAGTTGTTACCCTTTGGCATAAGGTGGACACTAGTGACTAGATGTTAACTTCAAATAGATCCCACTTGTGACTGTTTACAAATTTTTAACATGATGCTTACCAAGCAAGTAATAAATTGTTCACTATTAATCTCCCTGGTTAATGACAGCTTGAAGTCTTAAGTCCAAAGAAAAATCCTCCCTGTCGTATCGCTGAACATAAAATGTAAGTGTCAGTTTTTCTTGCTTGACATTGTAGTCAAAAATCAGTGGTGTTGACTTTCCCACAACTATGGCTGCCCTTCCAGAATACCGTAGCAGTGTGCGCCCATTTTCCTTGACTTTGGTGAAGTGCCTTTTCTTTAAAAAATTATTCCCACCAAATCTAACCGGTGAGAACATCTTTGACGCCATCTCGAATCGGTCAACAGTCACCAACATTTGAGTCTTGGTGTTCTTCAACGACCCGCCATACCCAACAGCAATATTGCACAAATGCCGAAATATATTGTACGGCAAAAACAATTTCACGGGCGGCATCAGTCCAGTATTTCTGGAACGGCCAAGCTTGCTAAAAATGGATTTCCCCAATTCTCGAAGATACGAGTCGATTAGAGGCCCGGTAAGCTCGAACTTGTTAGAAGCTTGTTGTTCTAAGATGGGATCAAGGTCTCGCATTTCATAGTTTGGCTTCGACTTGCACTCCCATACGGCATTCAACCACAAAGTCTCCACCGAAAATTTCATCGCAACTAGTGCGGGGTTCCAAAATTTTGCCGATCTCTCTGTGTCATCTCCAGATGACCCAAGTTTAAGCATGGAAAGCGCAGCTATAAATCTCTCAGCCTCTGAATTCACCATGTTGAAAAGTTTAATTTGGAGGGAAATCTACTCCCTGTGTAATTACCGCTTACGGTATCCGAGCCCGCGCTTCCGGAGGAAAACTCCTTAGCAACCGACCATCGTGCAGCCACCTCTATTAACTCTTTCTCAGCCGGTACCATTACGCGTAGAACGTGCAGGATCTATGGATGTTTTCGTTAATATCTTCGATTCAAATAAACGCTATGTCGTTGAAAATACCACCATTCGATTCAGTGTAAAAATATCTACTTATTCATAACAATAGTTTCAGTCAATGGCAACATTATAGTGATTTATGAGCTTTTAAAGTCAAGCGAGCTCGTATATGATCAAATTATGCAATATTACTAACAAATTATAAACATAAACATACCTTTCGCCGAACATAACTTCGGCCCTTTGAGATGTATGCTCATTGTGACACTCTTGTTCGATTAACCATTCGAAATGCTGTATACTGTCTTATTTTCAAAGTTCTTTCTGTAAATTCTAGCCATTTATTACCAGATTTACATTTCTGGTCCGAGTTTGATTTTATCCAAACCGGAAATACGACTTAAAAGTGTCGAAACAATGCAATGTTTGTATCGTATGACTCTGGAAAGGTCAGAAATGGATTCTACAGGTCAAATTGCACCTATACACGTGAGGAGCTCCTTATTGGCCATGTATTACGCAATACACGCGCGTGCGAGTAAAACCCGATATCCTTGAAAAATTCAAAATAAATATTTCTATTCGCTGTATTCATACGAAACTTTCTACACGAAAGCACTTGAATACAAAGAATCTTTTACTCATATAGGCTTTTAGAAAATGAAAAATAGTTTAGAAAATATTCAACTTTTTCTCGATATATCGAACAGAATGTTTGGTCAAGCGGTGAGTATAAACATATGATTGTTTTGGTTTGTGTGATGTTATGATGGCACTTGACCCCCCGTTCGAAAGGTTATTTCGAGAGGATTTCAATGGTGCGTTTTGTTTTAAAGGGGGGTAAATACTCGCCGAGATATTTACATTAGAAACATTGACTCGTAATGTAATGCGAAACCTGCTGTCGGCAAGGGCGGCTGAGAAAGAGTTAAGTGGCCACAAAGCCGATCCCGAGGATCGACTATGCCCAGGGTCTATTATTTGTGTACCTCTATTTAGCAGCCATCTCTATTAAGCGGCCACAAAGCCGATCCCCGAGGGTGGCCGCTTAATAGAGGTTCGACTGTATATAGAAACATCGGGATTGCATGCCCACAATTGCAACATTTGGTGAGAAGAATATTGGAGCAATCTTGTATGGAAGACCTAGCTGTCTTAAGCCCCGTTTACACTACACTCAATTTTTGGTACGGCACGGATAAAATTGGTACCCGTACCACTTTTTTGGTTCTTGGACTATCTATTTAGCTAAGCCTCGTTTACACTACACTCAATTTTTGGTACCGTACCACTTTTACATTCTTGGACTACCAAAAAAGTGGTACTGGTACCAATTTTATCTGTGCCGTACCAAAAATTGAGCGTAGTGTAAACAGGGCTTTACTCTAAGAAAATGTAATGTATTGTTTGTTAGACAGACAATTTCATAAACAGTTGGCAATTTCATAAATAATTACCACGAATTTCACAAAAGGTTTAATGAATAGCTATATTCTCATTAAGAAAATATTTTTCTCAACCATGCATACATTTTAAAAAAATATTAAAACCATGCATCAGCATTTTTATCCTGTGATAGCTCGGAAAATCTAGACTAAAATTGGTAGAGTGCCATTTTCAGCATTTTTGGGGCTATTTTATTTTATTATTATTACACTTTATTTTAAAATTCAGTATAAATACATATACTAGGTGAACAAACAATAGGACACACGGTCCCCTACAAGGTTTGAACACCTGTAACTAAACTAATATAAATGTATCCCTCCCTAATAAATCTAACTCAGAGAGTTAGCACTACACACTACAATTACAATCAAAACGGTATTAACACGAACATAAATTAAGAGTGTTACTGTGACGACATTTAGGACAAATCAACTTATAACTTCTAATATTGTCCTGGTCAAATAGTTCATGAAGTCTATTGAAGAAGTTCTTTAGTCTACATTTAAATGATGGTAAAGAAGCGCAAGACTTGACAGCATTTGGTAGAGCGTTCCACATTAGGACAATGCGGGGAAAATAAGAGTCTCTAAATGTTGATGTTTTAGGAATAGTTTTGAGTCTTAAGTACAAGCCAATCGTACAGCGACGTGAAGTTCCAGTGCAGAATGACATATAATTATCTAGCTGAATAATTATAAAATTATTATAATTCATATAAAACAAAGTTTATGTGCTTATAGCTCGAAAATTATCCTATAAGATAATGTTAAGTTATAGCTAGGTATGGACATTCTTAATTTTAATCAACAGAGTATATAACCGATTCTTCAAATATATACAACACCCATATAAACAGAGATATGACGATGGTAAAAGTGGATTCAACACAATACACTGCCTTAATTTAAAGTGCCCCTGGCAGCAAAAATTTTTATTGGCGATATTAAATCTAGGTATGATTTCTAGCGTATCCGTGAAAACATTTTTCAATTTGGTCAAATCGTTCCATTTTTATGCCGGTTTAAAGTTGGCAAAAATGCCCTTTATGATGGATCTTGTCCGTCATCAGAAGAGCCTGGAACGAGCTATTTTTGTGACGTCACCCAAGGTACTCGTCAAAATAAGGCTTTCGTTCCATATGCAAATCTATAATAATAGTGTTGGCCATATACATACAGTGCGCTGATTTTCGGAAAGTAAAAAAGATGGTTAATAGCTGTGTAGCTGCCAATTGCACGAATAAATCGTGTCTAAGTTCGGGTATAAGTCTCCATACGATACCTTACTACAACGACGATCGACCTGAAGCTAAGAGAAGAAGAAAAATATGGGTTGACTTCATAAAGGCAAAACGTGTCTTCGTGCCTTCGAAAGCTTCGACTCTTTGTTCAGCGCACTTTAAGGCTGAAGATTACGAGCGAAGATTCTCAGTTTTACCTGGGCAAACGAAACCAAACTACCCCAAATTAAGAAGCGACAAACTTGGTATTTGTGTGTATCCAAGTATACATGCTGAGGCGAGGGAAACATCTAGAGAACCAGTCGTGCAAAGTCCTAGAGATAGACGGATGGTGAGTCTGTTTATAACAAGCTTTTGTTTTGAATGTTCAGAAAAGATCCATGCATTTTACCGAACTGTTTCAATTATTAATAACATTTCATAGCCTGATATTGTGGTTGCTGTACTTTTTACTAATTTCTAATAAATCTTTTCATAAAAAGTTGATAAAAGCTTTGCAAGGTGAGAGAAGCACGTGTGATGGCGAGGTATCGAACATGGACGACTTAGCGCAAACACCGAAGTCGAGTAAATCAGGTAATTAAAGTTAAATTTTTGGACTTTAAAATGCCGTTTTATAATAAAAATGTATTTACATTAATTTTATAAACAATATGGATATTATAATTAAATTTCGGTATAAAGATATTAAAAAGGGTCTGCCACTGAGTAATTTTGATGATGACTGCAAGTTTACTAGTCGAAACGTTTAATCAAAATGAAAAATCATTGTCTTGTATTTTTTAAAAAGGGTCATTGTAGGTTTTATTTTCTCACTGAAACGACTTGCCGACTTCTAAACATCTTACTAGATACTGATACTCAAAGCAAGAAAAGAAAACGCCAACTGGAAAAGCTTGATGAGAGTCAACTCGAGGAAAGTCACATTGATGAGCCAGCAAATGTAAAGTTTCCTACATAAAGTTTTACATCTATAATATAATACTTGCACTCCAGCTGAATCTCCCTTTATGATATTCATGCTACAAAATCATTGTTTTTTATTATTTTCTTAGTTTGTCATTGCCAATACAGAAATGGAATCTCTTCGAGAAACCAATAGAAGGCTAAAAAACAAAATTATTTCTTTGAAAACATCTGCAAAAGGAAATAAATCCAAAATGAAGCTAATGAGACGCAGGGGTAAGACTCATAATTTCTGCAATTTATTGTTAACCATAGGGACGTCGCGAAGCCATCAACATGGCGGGGGGGGGTGTTCCTAGGATTTTGACCAAGTCGTACAAATTTTGCCCAAAAATGTTGTCCGGGGGGGGTCAAAAAAAATTTTCCGCGCTAACATAAGCGTATTCAAAACTTTTCAACTAAGATAAGCAAGGCTTCCAATTTTTTCACTGCAAACCAAGAGCTTTAATATTGTTAAGATTGCAAACCATTTCATAACTTTGGGCATCTTTTATCCTGAACTTTGACCTAATTTTTCCAAGTTTTACCTTAAATTTTAAGCAAATATCAGTTCCGTTTCGACCAACTTTGGGCAAATATCAGTTCCATTTTGACCAACTTTGACCAACGTTTGAATTATTGGGGGGGGGTGTTACCCCCCCACACACACACCTATAGCGACATCCCTGGTTAAGCGTGTTACATAAAGAAGCAATGCTTTTTTTTTATACATATTTTATTTAGTACTCCAGCTTGAACAACGCTTAGAGGAACAGTCGGTGGAGAAGAGTGCTGAAGAATCTGAAATGGAAGGTGGCAATATTGAGAGTGAGGGTGAAGCATCAGAGGAGGAAAACGAGTTCTATGAACATGATCCTGCCTATGAGGTAGATGATGTCGACATGGAAGAAGATGATGAAGATTTCATAGAAGAAGATATAGGGTGAGTAATTTAATAACTTGGCACCGCCTTTTGCAATAACAAGCATCACAACTACCTATTGTGTATTATTATAATGTTGCACTTTTGCTTGTTTCAGGTTGTTGCAACACAATGGAAATCTACGGTCAGAACCAAAGCACATTGTGTTTCTGTCACAGCTTCTGCTACTTTTCAACTTTTGCCATTCATGCAAAGCTGATAATCCATTGGTGGAAGCAAAAGCTGTTGGAACTGCAGCAGTTGTAACCTCAACATGCCACAACCCAAATTGCGCACAGAAAACCACAACATGGTATAGCCAGCCACTAACACCTGGGCGTACAAAAGCACGTGCTGGAAACTTTCTTTTATGTATGGCAGTCTTGCTTGGTGGTGGCTCTTTTACTAAAATACGCCAAATATTTGCACATATGGGTCTTGGATGTGTCTCCCATACAAATACTTCCGTTATCAGAAGGTAAGAAAGAGCATTTTCTTATAAACGAACTACGAAGTATTGTTTGCAGTGCTTCTAAACTTATGTATATCTAAAGGAAATGAAACTTAATTCTCCTTAAAATAAGCATGCATTGGGCCATCCCATTTAATATAGGCACCCCCCCCCTATTGAGGGGTCCCTTCATAATCCCCTTAGGGTATAAAAATTTTAGAACCCCCTTGGATGTGATTTTTTAGCCTGCGAACAGGCTCTCAAGCTGAATTGAGAGCCTGCATCGATGACTAATGAATTTGAATATCTGCGTCTCAAATCGTGACGCGAAATTCTCATTGGTCAAATGCTATAATTTATATGTTTCCGCTGAGCTCTATATATGTCAACTGCTGAAGCACTATGCATAAAAAACACATTAACTGATCAAATTGGTCTTGGCCGTCTTATCTCAAAGCATGCACGAAATGTTCTGTTTTGAGAAAACAGTATCATAGATTAAAAGTATTTAAAACATTTGAACTTTTGCTTGAATATCTTATATTTCGAAAAACAGTATAAACTGTACGGTCTAAATTTAGTTTCCACGGTCTAAATTTAGTTTGCACGAAAGTTGTAAACAACACCATATAAGGATAGACATTCCATATTTGGAAAAACGAATGTTACGGGGCAGATATTCAAATTCATTAGTCATCGATGCAGGCTCTCAATTCAGCTTGAGAGCCTGTTCGCAGGCTAGTGATTTTTGGAAGTTACCCCATGGATATCTTTATACCCCCTTTAACAGGATATCATTTTTAGTAATTTACCCCCTTGGATATCACTAAAACACCTAATTTTTGCTATTTTTGGACAATTTCCTAAGCTACCCTCTAGGAAAATTTAAGATAAAAACACCCTCCCCCCATAGGATTTAGGGGGGGGGGGATGGTGCCTACATTAAATGGAATGGCCCATTGGTTGATACAATATATTTGAACTATATAATTTATAAATTATGTTGTACTATATAGACTGTGCTATTCCCCACCATCTTCCTTCACTGGAAGAAGTACCAGTCATTGTTGTTGGAGAAAGCCAAGAAACTAAGAAATGGTGTTGTTCTGGCAGGGGATGGTCAGCATGACAGCATGGGTCATTCTGCCAAGTTTTGTGCATATACAATTTTTTGTTGTACTCTTGCACAAATTATTCATTTTAATCTTGTGCAGGTAGGAATACTGTAAATAATACTATAGCTTCACTTACTAGTTACTAGCTCTTGATTATTCAATGACACTAACAACTGTTATTGCAACATTGTTTTTCTTCCTTTTAGAGAAATCAGGCAGGAAGTAGTCCAGCAATGGAGTTTATGTCTTTTAAGTTATCCATGGACTACCTTATCAACTATGGCCTCACCATTACTACCTTCATATCAGACAGGCATACTTCAATTGCAAAGTATATGCGGACAGTTTTGAAACAAATTATCCACTATTTCGATGTGTGGCACTTGAAGAAAAGTGAGAATATTTCCAATTTTTTAAATAATATAATTCATGCTAATGTCCAGACTGCTTAGGAGTTAGGATGAGAACCCACTGAGCTATAAACATCACTGAATTACTGATGAGTTAGTTTATGATAATTAAATTAAGCCTTCGGGCCCTTCACTATTTTCCTTCAATTCTTGTTGACATTGTTTTCTGTTTGAAAATTTTATTGCTTGCAGAAATAAGAAAGGTGCTTTTCAAAATTGCAAAAGAGAAAGACTGTGAGGCACTGAATGAGTGGATAAAACCATGTGAAAACCACCTGCACTGGAGTGCTTCTTCAACTTATGATGGCAATGGTTTGGTAATCTGGGCAAAATTCAAATCCTTTCTACAGCACATTGTCAACATCCATTCAGGGCACAGTGATCCACTGTTTGACAAGTGTGCTCATGGAAGCAACATTCCTGCTAGAAAGTGGTTGACCATTGGTATGTAAAACATTTGGCCTTAAATGTTTATGATGGCATATAGTTTACAGTATGAATTTTACAACTACCCAGTTTCTTGTTGCAGCATGTCCGGCTCATCAGAATATATTCACAATATGGTGCATACATGAACAGGAAAATGTTTTATTTATATTCCTTTCCTATAGATTCACCCCTCCATAACAAAGTGTGTGCTGCACTTACAAACAAAAGGCTTATGAATGGTATCAAGAAAGCTTCTCCATTAGCACAAACCAGCTGTCTAGAGGGCTTTCATAGTGTTCTCAATCACTTTGCACCCAAGATGATTGCGTACTCTTATGTTGGACAATACTGCTGGTTAGAATCTCTTCTAATTTAAATGTTTATTACTTTGATTGGTGAAGAACAGTCTATTAGCACATTATGAGAGCAATTAGAGTTAATATATATATCTTTTACATAATTAGGCATATTCTAGCTGTAATACACTTTAACAGCAACCTGCAGAGAGAAAAAAACCAATCCCGATAAATCTGAAAGAATAAAGGTCAGCTACCCCAAATTCAAGAATGGAGAGGCCACAATTCGAAGTGTTAGGGTTGCTCAGAACTTTGGTAAGTTTCTGTTTATCTGCAAATGGTAATAGTCGGCCGGCCAAGGTAGCAAAAAGTGCCTTCAAAGAGAGTTGATGGCAACTTTATGTTAGAAGTTGGTAACAGGCATTTTCTTATAGTTTAAGCCTTGGTGAACAAGACTATATGTGTTACCACTTCTGATTTTTGCTTTATAGCCGAAAATTTGAGAATTTTTAAATTTTGCCTATTAGATTACTATGATGGCAAAAAATTTAAAATCTCATGTTCTCTCATACCAAGGCTTAAACTATAAGAAAATACCTGTTACCAACTTCTAACATAAAGTTGCCATCAAGTTGTACAAAATCATGTCATGGCCAGCCATCTATTATGCTGTCTTATATTTAACTATTTACAATATACTTTGTTAACTTTTTTTATAGATTATGTACAAGAAATATACGAGACTTTCTTGTCAGCGACTGAAAAGGATCTGAAAAGCAAGGAAGCTGAACTGAAGCAAATGTGCCCCCCCTGCTATGAACACAATGCTAAATAAGCAAACAAAGGAGGAGGCAGTGAGGAAAAGAAATGACAGGAGAGAAATGACCATTGAAGATGTTCCACCCAGTATTCCTGGTTTGTAATACTTTGTAAAATCTGTTGTTTTTTCATGTTTGGTTAAATCACTCCCATTTTTGTTTTTTACTCCATGACAGAGACAAATTTATTTGTCAGAAATTAGACTAAAAAGTTTGTTATATCAACTTTGTATAGTATTGCAACATCTGGAACAACTTAGGCGACAAAAGGAGGCAAAGAAAAATAATGAAGGTCCAAAACGCCATTGTCGAACATGTGGACATCCAATGAAGGGGCATACTAAAGATATAGATTGTCCAAAAAACAGATAAGAACTTAGGCCTAGGTATCATGAAAGAAAAGCTTGCTTCAAGCAAAACAAAAAAGCTCTTTTAAGAGCTGCCACTTAATAAAGAATATAACGATACCTCAATAATACCATGATCATTGCACACAGTTCATAAAAAATGGCAAATGTTCAGTTTGTCATATTTTATTCATTATACTTTATATATACCAAATATTTCAAAGCTATAGCTGTTCATTCCCACGTAATCCCTGCAGAATAAAGAAACTAGTCTGAGTCGTCAGAATATCCAGTAAACTGTCCTTCCTTTTCCATGATGGGAAATGTATTTCTTATTGCAATGTAGGCACATGCAGGTAGTGGGATTCTTCTGTTGCCAAGAAGTCCATATATTAGTCTTGTGAACTCTCTATATGAGATACTGCGTAGAAAGCTAAAACAAAATAAATGGAAGTTCATGATTTGTTACCATGTGAACCAGGCTAAGAAGTTGCCTGCATTTACAAAAGTATAAATTGATATTTTCTATCTTTGTATTTAGCAAATCATTATCTACCTACACATATAGTAGAGGTGTGCATCGGATCGGATTGGACGTTTATAATCCGACAATTGCCTATGTTTAAACTCTGATCCGATCCGAAATTGTCTAATCCGAATCCGATCCGAGTTTCGATCCGATCCGAACCGAAGAATTCTTTAATAAAATAAATTTCTCATTCAAGTTGAAATATTTAACCAAATAAATATAAAAGCAAGAAATACATGTCAAGAAGCTGACAAAGTGACGTCCAATTGAAGTATCAAACGAATAATGCATTAGATAATTAATTCATTTTATTTCGGATATCGAAGTCCGATCCGACTACGAAACAACTTTATCGATCCGAAATGAATATTTTGGTTCCGAAATCCGAACGGATCGGATTCGGATTTGCACACCTCTAATATATAGTAATGTATTGAGAGGCTAATTTTAATGCACCTATCACTGTTTTCCCCCTGGGGGGGGGGGGTTGCAGGCGACCTAGGGGACTTTGACCACACTATGAAGCCCCAGTGAGGGGAATTTGACCTATGCATCAACTCCCAGAGTTGGGAAATTTCCGCCATCTGCCATCTTGAAAGTTTGCACAGTTTTGACATTGAAAGGCCCGGTAGCAAGTATGGCGGAGAAGCACGATCAAGTTTCATCGAAAAAGGTATTTTATAGTGTCTCAATTTTTACCAAGTTTAAACCAGTATAGACCTGTATGTTTGCATTGGAAAACATATATGTGCCTTGTTATCTTAGAAATATAGTGGGGAATTTTGACAGCCGTTTCTTGCCCAAAAGCGGGGATGCCCTGGGTTGCCCGCACCCCCCCCCCCTCTCAGGGGGAAAACATTGATAGGTGCATAAATAAACAAGTCAAGAGGTAAAACTTTGGCAACAAAGAAAAATTTTAACAACATAATTGAATAAATTGTCTAACCTATTCTCTGTTGACGTTTGACTGTATTTGCTTTTATCTTTGGTTTTATATCTGTCAGCAGCCATCTTCAAACTCCACTTTTGAAGGCATACGGGGTTGAATCCCGGGTGTTGTGTTACACACTTCGCATTTTGCACGCCTTCGGCTTTGAGATCCTGTATAACTTCTTCGCGATTCATAGCTTCCTCGCATCCTTCCTGTTCAAAACAACAATAACATTCACTATTATTTGTTAGTAAGGTTATGTCACAATTCCCACAATTGCACCTGTGATAAAAACAGAGAAAAACATTCGAAGTTTATAGATAGAAATCAAAAAATTTTATCGATGTTTACCAAGTACTTACCACTCGCTCACTTCAACAGAACCATCCAGTCTTCTCCCTAGCTTTTCTTGTAGTTCTAGCCGTTCTCTTTCTTGCCTGTTGTAGTTTTGTAGCCACTTGTCGTCAGAACGTAGTTTTAAAATGCTTCTACTTTTACTTAATCTGTTAATCCCTTCTGCGGCAGATACTATTCATCAGAATGTTAAATGCTTTAAAATCTTAATTTTTATAAAAACGACAACAGTTAACAACATGCAGTTGCAGTTAATCACTATAACACAACAATTTGTTATGCGATAACTATGTCCCAGTATTGACTGCTGAATATGTTGTTCATTTCTTGCCGGAACTGCGGAAAAGATTGATACGTAGTTGGGAGTTTCAGAACTGATCTGCAGGTATGGGCGATAGGACGTCTTGCTGCACCATCAAGGTCAGTAAATACTACTTTTATTGATTCAACGCAAATCATTGTCGAGGCAGTGCAATAACGCAGGAACATTGTTAGCTTTTCGTCATCAAGCCCTCGTATGTACCGCCTCAAAAACGAAAGTACAGCGTGCTGCGAATTACTTGTCGGTTCAGAACGTATTAGGTTTAAAACTCTTTTCACTGTTGGTCTTGCATTTTGGTAAATCTCCTCCAAAGACTCCATCGAAGAAAATGCATCGCGATTCGCAAGGTTTTCTTTAAATGGCTTTCTCCAACTATCAATGATGAACTGCGCAATCTGGACCATTTCTTTATGTGCCAATTCTAGGATTATTGTTTGACGATCCTCTTTTTTAGGGATTGTTCTGCAGTCAAACCTTTTGAGAAAATCAAGCCACTCTTTTTCCTGGCTGTCATTTAAATCATCATCTTTTATAGCTGTATTGATTAGCTCTCGCTCATCTTTGGACACATACCCTAAAAATGATTCCATCAACAGTTCATCTGGTATTTTTTCACTTTCAAACAGGGTTGAAAACATAAAAACTTTATTTAGTTTTACTGGAAAAAACTTGAGTTCGCTGTAACCCTTGACCAGAATTCGCGCTATCGCCTCCCATTCTTCTTCTTTAAAATCATGTCTGACTACGGGCACTCTTTCTTCCTCTCCAACCGTGCATGAATCGTAAAACGAACTCCAAAAGGCAGAAAGAGCGTCACGAAAGACACCGCCATCATCAACGCCCAACTCTTCTTTTATTAATCATAACGACTTTGACGTGGATCTGCATAATCGATTCATCTTTAAAATTCTCAATCATGTCTTGCATGATATTTACTCTTCTGATTTCTAGAACTCTGAAAGACATAAATAAATTGTATTATACTTAAAAATAATAAATACAGAGCGAAGGAATGCTTCTACATATATGTGAATTAGGAAACCGAGTACATTAGACATTTGGCACTATTTGCAAAGAAATTAGCCTATATCACCACCATAATTCCAGATTATTTTTATAGTCAAATAGTTTCTCCATGGATAAAAGTAGTTTTTATAGAGTCAAAAATAGGGCAGGTACGAATTTAAATAAGGTCAAGCTGCACTTGTATATCTTACTTCGTAAAAGATATACATATAAAACAGGTATATTTGTACGGCGAAATGAAAGACCCTGGTAGACGCTGGTCACGTGATCTGCTAAAATCTAGCAGACTTTTTAGATTTTTTTAAAAATAAACATTTGATATTTGGATTATTTTGATAGTTTAATTTATAATTTGCATTTTGTATGATTGTCGTAAAGAAAACTAATACAGTTAATTAGAAATCTGCTAGATTTTAGCAGATCACGTGACCAGCGTCTACCTGGGTCTTCGCTCCCCACGAGGGAAAACCCTGGGTACGAGGTTGAGGTTTTTTTCTACTTTCACATTCTTATTCCAAAGCAAACACTTCTAAGTTGAAAATGCCTAATATTGTGAGCGTAGAAACATTAAAGAAACAAGAAAACGACTTCATAACACGAGTAGTTTTGGCAAATTTGGTGTTTGTGTTAAGAATTCAGTCACACGATTAACCTGCGCTCACATGCACTCCACGCTTACGCGATTTCTTGCGCATGTGTAGACGAAAGTCCAACCTGTTTCCTGGAGGAAGAAATGTAATTCAGACAGTGTATAAGACTTTCATTACCTGGTTACAGGAAGATTTTGCAGGTCATCGTGAAGAGAGCGGTCATCCAGTAATGGGTAGACGTTTGGATTGTCAATCTTGTTTTGTCTAATCTGGTTGCCTTGTTGGTTAGACTCTTCATTTTCTAGTGTGGCAGTAGCAATTTCAACGTTACAATCTAGAATAGGTTCTGATTCCCTACAACAAAAAAAAAAATACCTTATTACATTTCCAAACTCGATCTTTCATCTAAATCAAATCAAATGAATGCAAGTTTCCATTTTCATTTCCAATTCATTCTATGTAATTATAATCAAATAGCTATCACATAATGTGTGTTGGTAAAACTTCTTTCCGTTGATAATTCTAACCTTAATTGCTGTGATTGATGATTGTACAATGTACATAGATAAAAGCCCGTTCTATACGTCGAAATCAGTCGCGTCAAATGCAATTCAAACAAATAGATAATGAAGCTTAATGAAGTTTATCATCTCATTATCTATTGTCTTAATTGCGTTCGACGCGACCAAAATTCAACGTATAAAACAGGCCTAACACTATTGCCTCCGACAGGTGGTCATGAATGTTTAATACGCGTTTGTACGTGTATGTCTATGTGTGTGTGTTTGTCTTTCAGCACAATAGCTCAAAAAATATCAAAGTATTAAACATAAAAATTAATGGGACTAATGGGAATGCCCAATGGTTAAATTAATTAAATGAATATTCTTAATGATAATGTGTATAGCAAGTGACAGCTATTAGCCCATTGCATGTACATTTAAGTTTGACACATAACTTAATTCTCCATTGTCCAGTTCATTTTGGTTACGATAAATCGGGGACTGGACTCTAAAAACAAATCAACAACAACAACAACAACAACAACAACAACAACAACAACAACAACAAATGTAACAATAAATGTAACAATAAATGCAAATTATTCGTCCATGGTCTGGACAGGAACCATGCACTGGATTTTTGGCTACATGTCCGTTAAATGGTTCATTACAATTCTGAGCGGTTATTTTAGACTACAAAAGCACAGAGTTCCCACACGTAGCCCCTTCCCTACCACAACGCCAACCCTCATCCTGACCAGGCTTCAATCAAGCCACCTGTTCGTAGGAAGTACAAATACACGCGCGAGGCCCATGCATATCACAGAACGCGACCGTTTACAATGTGGGTGCCTAAATCAATTTTGAACACAAGTGAAATTTTGGTGGTATTATCTTAGTATGTCACTGATCGTGCGAAAAAAAGCAGTCGTACATGCAGTAGTACAGGGTCACGGACAAATATAGCTACCTTCACTGAAAAGCTTGCAAGCTGGTCCACTAAACAAAGTAATAAATAACTTAATAGGAACTTACAGCTCATCATCTTCCAACAATACAACAGGTATGTCTTCCATTACGTCAGGAATGGCGATTGAATTTGGACGTTCCACCACAGGAAACATCATTTCTTCATAACATACTGCCATGCTGACAAGTGCTCGGTCAACTGTTTCAATTGGTGACGTGGGATCGAGAAGAAACTTGGCATGACAGCGGAAACTTGCGTGATTTAACTCCTAGAATAACATGCCTAACCGACATATTTGCATGTGGATCATCCAAGTTCGGTTCTTGTGGAACCCTTTCACACCGAGCTTTGTACAGATTTTCTTGTTTGTTTAGTTGATCTCTGAATTGTTCCATTTCCTGTTCTTTTTCAATCTCAGTTTGCTGGTCTCGAAATAAAGATTCCCTGAATTCGGCATCTTGCTGTTCCCGCAGTCTGCTTCTTTCTAGCGATGACCCAAGAAGAATGGCGCTGGATTGGCATTCATGATCTGGACTGTCAAAAGCAGGTGGCAATTCAAAAGCAGATGGTAATTCATCCTCACTGTTGCTTAGGGAAACTCTTTCATTTCCTTCCTCCAATTTGGACAATAAATATATTCTTGCTTTGGACAACTTGTGCTGTGTAATGTATCTCGCTAAAGTAAAGCCCTCATCTTTTATTTCCTCGCATTTGAAGTTTCCTAACTCGAATTTCATAGCACAAGCATCTCCAAAAACACTACTTCCATTTGTAAAGAAGATAGATATCATTTCTTTAAGTATCTCTTCTTTTGTAGAACAAACTGGGAGACTGATATCTCGAGCTCCTCCACCTCGTCCCATACGAACAGACACACATCTATTTCGGTTATCGTCAAAATGTTGCCAACCGACAGAAATCTTGCGATTTGGTGTTTTAACTGGTGGCGATGCGGACACATTTTCCAATTTCTTTTTAGAGATCTTATTCCTTGGCAGCTTTGACTTCAAGGTATGAAGGAGTTTTCTTTTTTTTCTGTTCTCTCTTCCTTAGTTGCTTCATTGTCTTGTTTGCAGAAGGCTCTTAAAGCTAATATGTCTCCCTTCCGTGTTAAGCCTAAGTCTTGTAATTCTTCATCTTTGGCCAACGATATAGCTGCAATGTCCATCTAATAAAAAAATAAGAAGAACCATAGATGTTATTTAAATTTAGTATTTACATATTAGAACTATAGAAATATTTAATTCTTTATTGTTAAAATAAAAGCCATTATCCTAACCCAGGAATACAAATTATACTAAATAATGGGAGACTAAATACCATTATACTAAATCTGGAGAGACTAGAGGCAGGGATGGCCAAAGCTTTTGGAGGGCCCGGAGCAAAATTGCAGGTCCATGCTTTCAGAGCTGTACATCCCAATTGCAAGCTGCTAGGCCATTAGCTGAATTGTGGGTAGATACTTCATTTGACCACCAGTCGGGGTTAGAGGTTAGAGGCTGGGTTGGGTTGGGGGTCAGGTATCCGCCCTGATACATAATAATAGAGGTCACACGAAGTATATACCAAATCGTGCTCAGTGATCACCACTGACCTGTGCTGATTGCAGGCTCGGGACCCTCCCGTGCTCAGGACCGGGGTTGATCACCACTGACCTTTGCAGATTACGGACTTGGCACGCGATGCCATATTTGCATTTTGCACAATTGCAAAAAAAAGTACAGGTGAGAAAGAAAAACATGGTTTCGGTGATGGAAAGCATTTTAACCACTTTGGTTTACAGCAGAATAAATTTAGTAATTTTTGCTACATTTTGGTAATTGTTTGCATGCTTATTTAGTAATTGTTTGCATGTTTATTTTTTAATAGTACGAAGTGACTAGATGACCGACAGCCGGCTATCTAGTAAACTGCCGGCTACATAGTGACTATAATTGAAGTTGAATTTTTATAAGATAAACCGTTCCCTAACCTCAAACCCTCATATACACCTAACCTAACCTTCTGAGAGTTAAAAAGGCGGAGAAAAAATTTTAAGAAAAAAATATGCTAAGTCAGACGTTAAAAATATGACCCGCCCCCGGCTGGGTTTCACTTTCCGTACGCAGCGCCTCTACCCAATGCACTAACGGCAAGCTCAGTTAAACTACTGTAAACAAATGTTTTTATATACAACTATAGTCATTATATAGCTGGCAGTTTACTACATAGGTCATCTAGTCACTTTGTTTTTCGTATTTATATTGGCTTGCAAAATATCTGGTCACACTGCATCAAATGTGACCTTCCTTGGGAAAACATACGTTAACGATTTTGCATTAAAACGGGCAAAAAAACGGATAACGAACGGATACTAAACGCTTTGTCAAATCGTTTCAACGGATCCTCAAAACGTTTTAGACGTTTTGAGTAAAAAATACGAACGGATGAAGACAAAAAATTTAACGGCTCTACGAACGGCTTTAACAAACCGTTCGAACGGAATTAAGAAACCGTTTAACGATATTCAGCGACCGTTTCAACGGATCTGTACAGAATGGTATAAAGCAGTGAACAATAATATACACTAAAACA